CTGCAGGTACGTGACAAAGATCTCTGGTTGGCTTCCCACAAAGACGTCTACAAATTCCAGAGATACCATATACTTCCCAGCATGTTTCCTTCAGGCAAAAGCTATGTTGCCTCAGCCAACAAGGATCTTGAGCACGAGAATGGTGAAAATGCAATTTCAGAAGATGGGATTCAGCCAACAGAAGATGCTTCTACTGAAGATTTGATTGAGGAAGTTTCTGATCTCCCCCTGGAACGTTGTATGAGGATAGTGCCTCATGATCAGAACAGTGGGGCCTTTTTCATTGCTGTCCTCCAGAAACTCTCTCCTTTACCAGGTGAATTTAAGCATTATTGATGCATCATACTATTTTGAAGAATCTAAGCAGTTGATATTGGAAGCGAGGGTAGACTAGTTGAACCTTGTAACCAGTATCCATTGGTTACTGCTTATAACACCCCCCCCCTCTCTTTTTTTCTTGTGTTCTAGAGATGTTGCCCAGTTGCTCATTACCACTTTCATTGCATCCATGTTAGGTGTTTATAATGTTATATCTACTTCATGATTTCCCTGCAGCCATTCAGGAGAAACCCAGTAAGAAAAGGGTTTTGGTCAAAAAGAATGCTGAACTGCAAGGAAAATTATTGGATCAGGTTACTGAAGATAATAGTGGGCTGGAGCAAGACTCCAGAGATGTTGTAGAAAAAATTTCTGAAGCAGCCACAGAGGCAGATTTAATTGTTGATGAGCCAGATGAAGCTGATATGGAACCTGATCCTTTCAATATATCTAATCAAGATGATTCAGAGGAAACCAAAGCACTGGTTAATGGGGAAACTGATTCTGGGAAGGCTGTGGGGAAGAGAAAGTTGCAACTTCAAGGCAAATGGAAAGGGGTTGACCCTGTTCTTTTCTTTAAAGATGAATCTATTATCAATAGCATAAAAATGTTCTATGGGATTGATGAGTCATTTCCTTTTGATGGCCACTTAATCTCAAGAAATAGTGATAAGAACCATGTGAAGAGAATTTACTATGTCTCAAAGTCAGTTAAGGATGTTCTTGGGTTGAATTTCCGTGTTGGTCAGCAACTTAAGATTGCTTCTATCGGCCTGAAGATGTTTGTAAGTAATCTACATGCTATTTAGACATTAATTTTTTGCTACAGTTTTTTTTTCGAAAGCCGCAATAATAGCTTTTGCCCCATTCCCTTCCATCCTTTGGCCTGTGAGTGCTCTTTCCATATTGATTGACATACTCCAAAGTTTCTTAGCTACCAGGCTACAACCCTATGCCATGAGCCACGTTGCTAGAAAACAGTAGATGCATCAACTGCCAAAACTTGTGCTAATAGATCAAGTCAGTCAAAAATAACTACCAACACCAGTTCTACTATATGTTTCTTTTTACCCAAAAAAAGGTGGTTGCCTAGGCTTTATTTAACAAAGAATTGTTCATTTCTTGATTTAATTCTTTCCTCTTTTTTTGAAGGAGCGACAAACTTCAAGAGAAGGTACTTCTACTCCCTGTTCATTCAGGATATCATCAGAAGGATTGCCGGTGATTCTTCCACACATCACTAATCAGATCCTATATGCATCCTCGGTAGATTTCAAGCATCTTTTGCAGTATAAAACAATAAAGTTTGCTGACTTTGTTGATGCTGAGTTTGGCGAGAAGGCATCAAAGTTAATGATGGGTTGTTGTGTTATAGTCATGCGAGGTACGTAGCAGTTCCTACCATGTTCGTGTTATCAGTGCATGAATGTGCATTTACCCCCATCGTCTTTGTTTGCAGACAGCAAAACCATGTCAGATCCTATCAAGGTGGATGCGTCAACAATAGCCATTGGCTGCTGGAAGGGTAGATCCAATTTGAGTGTGATGGTCACAGCAATTGACTGCCAAGAATTGCTAGAAAGGCTTTCAGTTCGCATGGAAGCTGAAAAAGGCTCTTCAGTGCAAGAAAACAAGTTCAATGTTGATGAACTGCAGCTTAATGGAGCTAGCAAGGTTGAGGAATCTGAAACTATTCAGCTGGTTGCAGATGCTTGAATCTACAGCAACTTTTGAGTTTACCAGTTCTGGTTTTATTTATTTTTAATAGATACAACATATCATTTATGTTTAGCCTCTTCTGGGTACCAATTTTATAATATTCCAGGTTTTATATTTTATCAGAATGAATTAATCTTTTTTGCTGTATTAAGCTAATGAAATTTTGACGAGCTACATGATTTTCGCAGCAAATTTTTGTTTGCTGGAGTTCCATGAAAAACAAAGACTCTTGTTCTAAAAGGGGTAAGAAAGACGTGCAAGTAAATGACTAATGAAGCAAGGGAACGGTAGATGTTGGTGGCAGTTTAGGGCATTGTACTGTAATAAAATGGAAGGAGAGGAAGAAGTTAAATAGGAAAATAAAGGGTTTTTAAAAAAAAAAGATAAAATAACATATTTTAATTTGATCGTCCTTCATAGGTGTGGCAAGTGGCAAGGTAGTTGTCCAAGCTTTGTCCCATATCAAAGAACGTACAGACCGAAAACTCGTTTTCTCTGAAAATTGAACGACGCTCTTACAGTCTCTTCAAGAGTCTCATCAAATACTTTTATTCAAGACAATCAAAAATCAAATTTATTCTAATTTCTGAGCATCATTGGACCAAATATTTTTACTTTGCTTTTAAAACAACCAAAATTCAAATTCATCTTATTTTCTAATTTATAACTATTGAAATGATTTAAATGTAGTAGAGAAAAATATATGTATTAGAAATGGTTTTCTAATACTACTTTTTAGTTTTTTTTATTTGTTTGCTTTTAAAAAAGTTGATTAATAAAAATTTAACTTTTTTATATTTATTTATCTTTAAAAAAATTGATCAATAACAAATACTTTTCAGTTGAAAAAAATTTGATTTAAATTTTAAAAAAGTATTTTTTTTATTTTGGATAGAAAATATTTTTTAAAAGTTGTGAAAAAGTTTAAAATATCATACTATTTACTGATTATATCAACTTTCGCCCTTATTTTTATGATTGTTATTTTTTTTATTTTATTTTTTTTTTAATTAATTTTTTTTTATTTATTAAATTTGATCTTCATTCTTTTAATTGTTACTTATTTTTTTTAAAATAATTATAATTATTTTAATTTCATCATATTTTATTTTTTTTATTTGTTAGATTTGATTTATATTATTTTGATTATTATTTATTTTATTTGAGATAATTTATGAAATATTTTTTTCAATTTCATTCTCATTCAACCTTTTAATTTGTAAGATTTATTTCTCATTATTTTAGTAAACTTAAAAAAATAAAAAATTAATAAGTTATTTTCTATCTTATTTTCATAACATAACTAAATACTGAAAAATATTTTTCAATTTATTTTCTATGACACTACCAAATATCAAAAAATAATTCATTTTGAGGAATTCACTTTCTAAAAAAACCACTTTCCAAAAGAAATTATTTTTTAGTAAACAAACGGCGCCTTAACCAAAACTTTATTTCAATTAATATTTTATTTTTGTTTTATTTTGATGAAAATTTTCATTTTTTTATTATCATAAGCATAGTTTCTCATATAAAAACTTATCATGTAAAGCAATTTTAAACCAAGAAACAAAAAAATAATATCTTGATTACTTTCTTGAGACTACATGAAAAAATTGAAGAATAATTAATTCAAGGAAATGATATAAAAATAATAAATAATAAAATATATATTTGAACATTATTGAATATTCATGTGATATTTTTTAAAAAAAATTGCCCATAAGTTTCATATTATAATTGTTAAAAAATTAAAAATATAATCATAAAAAGCTTTAATCTTATTTATAAAACATGCCATGATTGATTGCTTTTTGAAATATTATTATAATAAACATGATTTTATTTATAAGATATAAGCAAATTAAAAACAAAAAAAGAAGATAATGGTTAAGTAAGATGTATGTGCGTTTTACACAAAAAAAAAAATTCAGATGTTACTAAAACTTTGTTTGTTTTTGTGTTATAAAATATTTTAAAAAAAAAATAAATTTTTTTATTTTTATCACTTCAAATTAATATTTTTTAGTGTTTTCATATTATTTTGATGTATTAATGTTAAAAATTATTTTTCAATAATAAAAAATATCATTTTAATATATTTTTAAATAAAAAATTATTTTAAAAAATAATCACAGTAATTTGTAACGTAACTTTATAAAGCAAAGCTTGCATGCCTCGTTTATTAGATGAAGATAAGCTCAAGCAAACATCACTCTTTTCACTTTTCTATTATTAAAGGGATAACACGTCATCCATCAGAGGAATAACATATCTAATACAATTAATTATAGCATTTTTAGTGTTAGAAAAGTGGATTTTAGGGTATTAGGGGAAAAAAAATCAACTCATTTTTAACTAAAAAAACCATATGAAGCTCAATAACCCCATTTACTACCCTAGACACCCCTGGAGCCTCAATCTTTTTTATTTTTTTTTGCAAGATTAAAGTTTTAAATCACTTTCATGAAACTTTCCTCTTCAGGATGAATTTATTGCCACGATAAATGGCCTTTTGTAGTCAAAATAAGGACACTCGAAATGTTTCCCTCTCTTTAAAAAAAATAAAATGACTCTCCTCTATCAGTGTTAAAGACTAAAACATTAAAAAAACAAGATTGAAACATGAAAATCTAAAATTACAGGGATCAAACATGAAAAAAGAACATACAAGAACAAAATTATATGTTCACACGTCTATGAACAGTAAAAATTGTTGTGAATGTACACTGTAATCCATGGTGAATTTTTTTTAAGGAACCGTGGTTGAATAAGAGGACAAACAACTGTTAAAACTCCTAAATGTGTTTTTTTTTTTCAAGTGTTAATATTGTTCGCATATTCTATATAGACGAGTATTTATATTTTATGATTTTGTTATTTCACCATATATCACATGGTTAAACGAAACTTCTGTTCAAAAGAGGTAGCAATGGCTAAAAAGCCTCTCAAACAACAAGAAATTCTCCAGAAACATTTCCACTTCCATCTTCAATTTCCACACTACAAAGCAAGTTATTTAAAGTATTCAAAACATTCATCGACATTATGAAATTTTTTCTTTCCGAATAAGATTGAGGAGAAGATAACATGCGACTCAGATTTTCCTCAAAATAAGAAACTAATCAGCTGCTCGTGCAAGCTAAATTATAAGAATGTAAAATTTACAAAGAACTACATCACACCTTTCAAAAAATTGCTGTTGGGTATTAAGGGAAGCACGCAGTTTCAAAGCCAAGACTGATCAGATCACAATTAGCTACAACACTTGCTCTTCGCTGGGATTTCTTGTGCAGGGCCTGGAACGATAATCTTCTTGCCAGATAGCGATGCGGGGTTACCATTGCTTTGATCTTCACCAGCAACCAGGTTCTTCTTGTTTACAATGTTGAAGATCTCTGTCAACACAGTCATAAAGGCGTTCTCAACATTAGTTGCTTGCAATGCAGAGGTCTCTAAGAAGAATAGTCCTTCCTTCTGGGCAAATTCTTTGGCATCCTCAGTGGGTACAGCACGCTGGTCCTCAAGATCACTTTTGTTCCCAATCAAAATGATAACTATGTTCTTGTCAGCATGGTTTCGCAGCTCTTCCAGCCAGCGTGGTATGTGATCAAAGGTCTGCCGCTTGGTTATGTCATACACCAGCATTGCCCCAACAGCACCCCTATAGTATGCACTTGTGACTGCTCTATACCTGCTCATTGAACCCCCAAAAACAGAGAAGAAATCAACATTTGCTAATTACAAAAATTAACATCGAGTCTGTCCAAAAGAAACAATATTGCTTCCCAGGGTACTAACAGAACAATTCTGAATTTTTTGTGTTAAAGCACATAGTCAGATCTAATCAGGCGAGCACTGGGTTTTTCCCTTTTCTCCTACCAGATATAGTCTGCCTGGGTCCCAAGAGATTACTAAAGTAAGTATTAGTCATCAAATATAACATCCATCTCTAACCACCATGATACATACAAAAGATACTTCAATAAACGGTCCAAAAGTTATGGCTCAAAAGATGCTTCAAAATAAAGATATATCTTGTTTAACAATGAAGTTTTAGGTACTAAAAGAAGATTTTCAAACAATATAATAACATTCCTCAGAATAGCCCAAAGTTCTTTGGAACTCCTAAATTCTCATTGCTCTAACAACTGTATATCAACTAATAAGAGAAACCTGTGGCGTACAAATCCCCGTAGTCTAAAAGACAAAAAAGCCACAAGAGATATCTTAGTCTGTAAGGATAAACAAAAGAACAGTGACATGAGCTGGATTCACTTCCTAGACCAAAAGCAACTTTAAGCAAGGTAATTAATTCTTCTTTCATCATGAATCTAACCAAAGGCCACCTTTTCTCCAGTCAAATATTAACACTAAACAAAAGAATTATAATCCCCACACCCAACAAAACCAACAAAAAAGGCAGTCGGGGAGGCAAAAAAAGAGAAAGAAAAGCCAGTAGTTTTTTAGGAAGGGATAGTGGGTGATCGCCTGAAGCCACAGCACCCGTATGAGCTGAGCAGGGCCCAGAATCAAGATCTATCCTAACAAGTATCACCATGACCCAGCCTCAGATCCCCCGCACAGTCGACGTTAAATCAATTCATTAACATATCCATACTTCGATCACAGCCTTAAAACCGGATCAATTTGCATCCAAAAGTTCGCGATTCATCATGAATAAAAAACGACTGTGCAGAAAAACAATCAAATGTCGACAATTAGATACTTGAGAAACTCGAATTGCATTACCATATACCTCATCTTCTTTCTTTTTTTCCTTTTTTTTTTCTTTTTTCATTTGATTCCTCCCAGATCAGACACAATGTCCATTTGTATTATAACATCAACCACGTGTTTTTCCTCCAAATCTAACACTAGAAAAACCAATTCCACATTTGCAGCAAAACCGTCTTTCCAAATCAATGTGTATACAAAACCATACAATCCACGGATCCAGCGACACCAAGCGATACATAGCCAGCCAGGTGAGCATAAGCTGGCCCGAAGACAACTTAGCCATTAAAACCAAATATACATGCAGCTAACATGCTGTCTGTTATTAACGAAGAAAATCCATATCACATCTAGACTTCTAGACCAACCAAAAGAAAAGAAAAATAAAATTAAAATCTGAAAGAATGAATAGTTACCGTTCTTGACCAGCAGTATCCCAGATCTGGGCCTTAACACTCTTATGATCGATAACAAGAGTCCGAGTTTGAAACTCAACTCCAATAGTAGCTTTAGAGTCAAGACTAAACTCGTTTCTAGCAAATCGAGCAAGTATTTGTGATTTCCCAACTGCTGAGTCCCCTATCAACACCACCTTGAATACATAGTCTATCTTCTGGCTCGCATCTCCGTATCCACCCCCACTAGCCATTTCCTCACCCTCTCTTCAAATGGGCTTCCTTTGTTTCTTCTAAAGAGGAGAGCGATTCTTGCTATGCTTTGCTACGGCTAGCTAGTAGATCTTAGCAGGAGTGTTCTGCTTTGCTTGGTGTGGAATTGAAGGCGAAGGTGGAATTGAAGGCGAAGGCTAATAAGACAATCAGTAAGTGTGGCGACAATCCGGTGCCACGCATGGTAAATTTATACTAGTGCATCATGCAATCTGGTCCGTCATGATTCTGATGGGTCTTTGAGTGGGGACTACTTTGTCTGAGGTGTTTCTTGACAAGTGCAAATACGAGTCGAGGGGATGTTGTAATTAATTTCTAGCCGCTAAGATTTAGTAAAATTGACCCTTTAAGTTGACATTTGAAATTTGAAGCGCAGATTTAGGGAGAAACTAACAAATTAATTTTTTTAAAGTTCAATGGATCTCTTAATAAACCAACCAAAAAAATGTGATTGATTTCAGTTTTCTATTAGTGAAGTGTCAGGTGATTTCGTGAAAAAATCATAACTATTAATATATAGTTTTTAATTAAAGTTATAAATTTCATTTGATTCATGCTATTTAGGAATAATTGTCACTGGTCACGTTAGAAATTAAAAAAAAAATCAATTTGCTATTGAAAATAGGTGAGATTTCAATTGCAAGGGATATGGATGAAGACTTTTTTAAAACTTAAGGATTGATATTGAAAGAATTATAAGTATAAGAGCTAAAATGAAATACAGTTATTAGCCTATTACAAGGACTAACAAGTTCTTTTTAATTTTTTTACTGCCATGATTATATGTTGATTCAGGATGATTTTTAGGAAAAAGTCTTAGTTATTTTTATTTTGTTTAGATTATTAGGTATTATACCTTATAATTTTATTTTTTCCAGTTTGTTTATAGTTTTTATTATTTTTGCTTATTATTAGGTTTTTTAGTTTGTTAAAGTTAGTTTTTTAGTTTATTGAAGGGGTTGTAAATATCTTAGTGGGGCTAATTACTAGAATATGAAATATTTAATAACAAAATTTTGAATTAGAGGTTTTTTATGATTTTTTTAATATAATTATGTTATTATACTTGCTATTTTTCTTGTATTGTTTATATTTGTATCAATTGATATTAGAGTCAGGAGATCTTATGTTATATTATTAGTTATATATTGTTAAATAATCATGGTTAAAAAAGATCATAAAACAACACATGTTTAGACAAAAAAAGAATAAAAAGGTTTTTTTTAGAGAGAAATGTTAAAAAGATACTAATAAAAAACATGTAGAGACAAATTATAAAATTAAAAAAAAATATTTTAAAACGAGTTATATAAAACATGCAAAGAAATCAACCTATTGATCTAGGCAAGATGTGGGACTTAAAGGGATTGCGAGAAAAAAGTGATGAAAGATCCATGATCAATTTTGAGAAGTTATTCTATAAGCATAAATAAAAAATAAATAAAAAAACAACTTCTTGACTAGAAAAAATATGATATTAAAACCAAAATTTTTTTAATTGGAATCCATAATCAAAATCCAATGAGAATGAAAAATATTACACTTAAGAAAAATATTTAAATGTAGAAATTTTGGTATATGATTACCTTGAACATGTAAAAGATGTTTATGATAACAAGCATAATAATTTTGATCTTAATGGAGAAACCCTCAATGAGAAAAAAAAAACCAAATTAGATGCAATTTCAAGATTGATTTTTAATAAAGTATATGAAGAAAGATGGTATTGTTGTGTTAGAGTTGATGTCACTGTATTTTGAATAAAAATTATGAAATAAATTTTAAAATATCTTTCTAATTTTAAAATTGGTTTCATTATTATAGAGATCGAATATGTTGTTGATAAATATAATATTTCTAATAAAAAAATTGAGCATGTAAAGGATTAAAAAAAATTTATTGGATATTTACGAGATTGAGATGTGAGTAGTTTGAACTAAATAATGAATTTTTTTAACTTGAGAAGATTGATGCATGATGATTTTTATATAAAATTTTTTTTAATTTTTTTTATTTGATTTAAAAAATTAAATATTATATTTAATAATTTTATTTTTTCTAATACATTTAGGACTTTTATTAGTTTTTTCGGTTATTTTTTACATAAATTTAAAGAGTTGTAAACTTTTTAAGCATAATTTTATGGCGTTGAAAACTTGAAAAGAAAAGAAAAGACGCATGACGTTCTTCCTCGCGAATTACACTGCGGTCATGTTTGAAAAAAAAATCGTAGTGAGCTGGTGATGTGGCCAATAGTGATTGATTCAACAGGTTATGGGCGTGGGGTATTATGCAGAGGATTATGGCTGATTTTGAAAATAATAATAAATAGAGAGGATTGAGCAATGATAGCGGTAACAGTGAAAGTAGGGAGATGGAGGGTGCGGATGTCTCGGGTGAGTTGTCCGCCTCAACAGACCAGTGATATTCATTGGCAGTGGCAGGCAAACTCTTCTTATCTCCAAAGTAGAAATGTTGGGTCATTGGGTGCTTTTCACTAATCGACAATTATTGCACCTTAGTAATGCCACCTAATGCCTTCGATTTTATTGTTATTATTATTAAGTAACACGTGCCAGATTTTCCTGGTGAAATGGTACGATTGAAAAAATAATTATGAAAATAAGAGGGCGGTCATAACTTATTGAAACATAATTTTGTTTTTGATTTCCTGGTTTAATTTGAAATTTTAAACAATAGTTATCCTCTATAAATTAAAATAATTGATTTACTTATGATGTTTTATTTTTTAATAGTTGTGATAATTATAATAAAAATATTAGTTATAATCAATTTAAATTTTATAAGAATTTTTTAGTTAAATGACAAATATGACTCCGGGATTAAAGGGGGTTTGAATATATTAGGATAAATCTTATAAATATGATTTGAAGGGTTTAGAAATCAACATCTAGTATTATGGTTATTAGAAAACTTAATGGTATGTAAGAGTCCGAATAACGAAATTTAATGTACATGAAAAAGACACATCACCTCATTGCATTTTATCTAGAATAAGCTACATTATTGATTGATTATTTTTTAAAGTCATATTTTTATTTTTTAGTTTGTTTAAAGTTTAAGGAGGGTCTCCTTAGTAAAAACATCCTTATCTTGTCATGTTAAAATTTAACTATTATAAAGCTCAAATATTATGTAAAATTCATATCTCAAATTTCAAAAAAAAAAAATTATGGTGTTTTTAAAATTTTAGCTAGATACTAATATATAATCACAAGCTTGGTGTGATACTCATTAATTGATTTTTTTATTTTTTCAAGTATGATAAAATGTAATTTTTATTTTTTATAAAATATACATAAAAATTTTAGAATTTGGTCATATGTACACAAATAAAAATATATTTTTATATTTTTTTAAATAAAAAATTTCTTATTTTTTGTATTTTTATGAAATTTTTAAAAAAAATTATATTTATTACAGGGTCAGTATCTTACAGTTTAAGTTTACAGTCTAAATATTAAATCAAAAGATTAGAAAATACGCCAGGGCATTAAACTCCAGTATGCTTTATGAATTTGGGTACATAAAATTTCTTCATCACAACCACATTTAAATCCATGCACATCTTAATAGCTTGGACGGGATCATAACCATTAATGGTCCTTACTCTTGCCTTTAATGTTGTTATCTTATCATATTCAACATCTTCAAAGTTTTTTTTTTTCTTCTTGTAGGACTTGTTAACAATTCATCAACAATTATTGGGACAAGTGCGAGTGTCGTCAACTATATGAATATCACATTGTAGTAAAGTTCTTGACATTGGACACTTGGTACAGTTGGCTGCACGAATGTCATATTATCAATCATTGACATAAATCGACATTAATGATAAATTCTTTAACTCTAGATGATTGGGTATGTCAAACTCATAAAGCTACAACTGGAAATGAATTTCTTCTCGGTCAAAGATATAACTTATTAACAAGCCTACATGTATCTTCAACAATAAATAATTTGTATGTATTTTTAGGATTCAAAGTTGTTCTCAACACATGATATTCGATTGTTTACTCACTTAATTTATTATTTAGCTCTTATAATTGTTAATTAATTGTAATTGTAAATATATCAACTCGATGATGATACTCAATTGTTACTAGACTTTTTTATGATGAGATCATCTCACATTAGAAAAACAAGCATCTATATTAGAAATTTTAATGTTTTGATACTTACAAAATAATCTCACTTCTTCTAAACATATTTTCCAATCATCATCTCATAACTTTCAAATTAAAGTTTTTCTGCTAGCACCAAATGTCATTTAAAATGCCTTAAGATTTTTGTTGCATGGCTTGACAAAACATATTAGTAATTATTATAACATTCTTCATTATATGTAAGATAATTGCAAAATCAAATGACATTATCAATTTAAATAAAAAAACTATGTCACCATATTGAGAATAAGTAGATCCATATGAAGAAATCCTCTTAAAAACTAAGCAAGTTGCCTCTTATATTTTTATTAGACTAGAAATTGATTTGAAGTGCGAACTTTATCTACTATCTCCAAATCACAGCAAATCACTTACTTGATTAGCTTATTTATTTGTTTCAATCTCACTAATAACAATTACATCTTTAGCTATTTAAAAAGCCTACAATTCATCATTGCAAAGCACTTGCAATATTGATGATAAAAAATAAATTTTAAAAGAAAATATGAACATCAAATACTTCTCTCGCTGTAACAATAAGAGTTAGTTATAATTGAGAGGCTAAGAAATGTACATAATATTTATAAAGATGTTTTTTAATGAATAAAGCTTGCAAATCATTTCATTCCCTATACATATTACTAGCACCATTATATCATTGACCTATAATATTTTAAACATCAAAATTATAATAAGACAAAATAGAAAAAATATCTTTCTTGAGAGTTAAAACAACTATATGTTTATGACATGTCTATATTAAAAAAAGTTCTCATATAAATCCACTTCTATCAATAACATAATAACAATGATAATTTGTTTTTTTTGGATTTATATCGAGCTTTGTCAATAATTAAACAATATTTTGCACCTCCAATCTCTCAAAGAATTAAACATTGAACATTTCTAACAAAGACATAAAAAATCTCCCTTTTGAATTTGATGTGATGTGTATTTAATATTTTATGAAATTTTATCCAAAATAAAAGCACATATTTATTCATTGTATGATGCTAAAAGTTTTATCACTTTAAAAAAATTACCTTAGTTTTTTTATTCTAGATGTTCATTATGTCCTTTAAAAGTACATGCTTGAAATGTGAGCCAACAAATAATATCTACTGAGATATTAATACTTAATCAATTATTTATAATTTCTTGAGAAGTTTATCTCTCAAATATTTTTTTAATATGACATGATCGATTTTTTAAATTCTCTAAGCATTTGACAACAAATTTATGAGCTAAATTTGGATTTTTTTCCATATGAATAAAAATTCACATCGTTTTACTTCATTAATTTTCTTCCAACACTTAATTCTATAATAGTAAATGTGTATAATTTTATCTTTCTAGTTGATTTATTTGCAAATAGACAACAAGGAAAACAAAATGTAATATTTGTCTTTGCACATTTAAGCCAGGAAAATGAACCAATAAGATAAAAATCAATGAGAACATTTTTTACCGGTCAACAAATATCCATATATTAAAAGTTTATATAATTCCAAATTAATACATACCTTTCACATTTTATCTTGTTAATTAAATGAGTATTCTTTACTTGAATATCAAATTAAATGAGCAATGTCGATACTTTCTTATTTAGTTTTTACAATTTTAATATAAAATTGCTCGATAATTAATATAAGTTATTTGCAAATTATAGTAGGTCGGGGCTCCTTAACCACTAATTCAGTATTACATATTGGAATTGGTTTACTAAATTGTGAATTATTAATAATTTTTTTTTTAGAAATAAAATCAATTCTTTTTATATTGATTATGATTTAGAAATCAAAACATCAGGGATTTTTAATACGGGCCTCATATAGGATAAGTGAAAGAATTTATATTAAAATATTATGGCATTATCAACTATGTAATTTTCCATTAATTACTTAAATGATTGAGGAATTAATTTTCTTGACACAAATGCCACTCTCATCTTCTTTTAATTTGGTATTAACTATTAATATAAGTTATAACCAAACCAAATCTATCTCTTAACTCGAGTAATTGTTGCTTGTACCATAAAAAAAAAAAAACACTGCAACGATTTTACATAGAGTGATGCAAATAATACATCAAACTCTCAAAGCCAAAAATATTGCCAAGGTACCTACCTAAGTAAAATGGACGAGAAAAAAACCTTAGCATTTATGCATGATATGACCACTTGATTTAATTGTTCATAGGCAAGATTCTCAACATTCATAAGTCACTTAAGATAATAATAAATAAATTATATTATGGCATCCATGCATAAAAATCAAATTATGCAAAAGATAATTTTACCGGATAAAAATCAAATTATGCAAAAGATAATTTCGCCGTTTGTTTTTACATTTCAAAAATAGTTTTTAAAATAAATGAATTTTTTTATTTTTTATTTTAAATTAATTTTTTTATATTTTCAAATCATTTTGATGTGTTGATGTTAATAATAATTTTTAAAAAACTAAAAAATATTATTTTAATATATTTCCGAGTAAAATATATTTTAAAAAACAACTACAATCAAACTTTTAAATAAATATATATTTACAAGCTAACCATCATGAAAGTTTCACACAATATTTTTTATACTAAATTTGAAGTTTGTTTTGCAATCATATCAATCAACAAAATACAAAGAACAAAAACAGTAACATTAATATAATTAAAACTAATAAAATCCAAGACTAAAAAAATAACTTTATGATAAGATATTAAATTCAATGTACGTGAAATGGATTGAAGAACTGATTGCTCGAATTAAACAAACCTTTTTTTCAGTTTGTTAGAATAAGAAAAGTAGAAGTAATAGTTTAAGGTTGCCATTGTTTTTGCCTTCAAAATGTTTTTTTTGTATGATTTTAAATTATTTTAATATATTAATATTAAAAATAAAATTTAAAAAATAAAAATATTATTTTAATATATTTTCAAATAAAAAAAATCACTTGAAAAAAAAACTATATATATATATAAAAATTGTTTAGCTTTTATTAACTAATTTAAAAAAAAACATAAACATGTGCGGTGTTATTATTCTATCTTTTGTTTCTGCTAGGGCCCACAAGTGTAAAATACATGTACACCCTGTAAAAAATTTAAATTTTTTACAGGTCCGGGCTCTACGAGCCTCCCACTGTCGCTGCCCTGATTGATGTCTAAGGCTGAGCCATAAGCTTCTTACTTTTTAAGAAAGGAGATATTCTTGGGAAGAAAGGAAGTCAGCCAAGCTTCATCACTCAGTGCCTTGTTCTTACAAGGAGATCTTTCGTAAACATGTATTGTGATCTATGCTATTACTGGCTTCGCCTAGCAACCTACATTGCATTGTGCTTATGTGTAGACAATCTTCTATGACGTTGGCTTCACTTTTGGCACAACACAGGTAATTTATTACATCTAAGAGCAATACATTTCAGCGGCATTGGTGCTACTGAAAACTGCCTTGACACTATTACTTGTGAATTCTCAGGCAAGAGGCTCCATTAATGCTCTCATTCGTTGCAGCATTCTTGAATTTCATTGCAATTGGTGGATTCCCCTCTTTCGTAGATGATATTAACGTCGATTTTCTTACTTAATCTTTAATGTTTGATACACATATGAAGAGTAATGGGAATGATTTTACCTTATCCATACAGGATTATCAGACGAGAAAGATTAAACGGGCAATATGGTGCTGGTGCATTCATCGTTGGAAACACTCGGTCTTCCATTCCTTGCCTGCTCATGATCTCTTTAATCCCTGGCGCGATAGCTTTTTATATCGTTGGCCTTCAAAAGAGTTTGGAACACTTTGTCTACTTTGCTCTGCTACTCTTCGTGTGCATAAGCATGATGCTGGTTGAAAGCTTAATGATGATCTTTGCAAGTAATTTGCCAGATTTCTTGATGGGTGTTATAACAGGTGCTGGGATTCAGGGCGTGATGATGTTACTTGAAGCTTTTTCTCGGTCGCCAGATCATCTTCCTAAGCCTCTCCGGAGATATCCAACGCACTACATTGCACTCCACAAGCATGCAAACCAATGGTTCTACAAGAACGATTTTGAAGGGTTGGCATTCCCTAACAATCTAGCAGGAGGGCGACCTACCATTACTGGTGAAGAAATTATGAAAAATACCTTGCATGTAGAGATGGGCTTCTTCTAAAGGTATTGGTCTTGGTATCATGTTAAACAGGAACGGTGGTTCTTTATCGCCTCATGTTTTGGGGAATTATAGAACTTGTTGAAAAGGTTAAACCAATCATCAAAGCTGCTATTGGTGCTGCTACAAGACAACCAAGACAGATCTCAGAGAATCCCTCTTCCTCACTTTTAGATGAAGCTCACGCGTAGTGATTTATCCAAGTAAAACTTTAGGGCCTAATGTGAGGTTTCCCAAATAACATTACAATGGGCGTAAACGACATCTCGTCTGATAAGAGGCAGCGTCACAGCATCTATTTTCCACGTCCCCGTTACCTCAACCACTATATAAACATCCCGTACAACTCCAAAAAACAAGAAGCTGCCGGTTTCTAGAAGCAAGAAAAGGTAAGAATAGATGGAGGAAGAAGAGCATGAGGTCTATGGTGGAGAGATTCCCGATGTGGAAGGCGATATGGATCCTCATAACGCCGACGTTGACATGTCCGCCGCCGAAGATGATGCCGTCAAGGTCCTAAAACCTTTTCTCCATTCAATTTTCAGTTTTTTTTTTTGTTTTTTTACTTGTACACTGAACCGAAACCCTAGAAATCTAAACTAGATCTTCAATTATTTATAATCTTGAATAATCGGTAACTGATTTTTAGTTTATTGGATGATATTGTAATGGTGAAGGAGTTGGATGAGATGAAGAAGAGATTGAAGGAGATGGAAGAGGAGGCGGCTGCTCTTCGTGAGATGCAAGCAAAAGTTGAGAAGGAAATGGGCGCTGTTCCAGGTTTATTTTAATTTTATTTTTTAAAAATATATTTACTTCTGGTACTGGGTTCCACACCCCCCCCCCTTTTTTTTAAGAGGAATAGAGATGTAAACTGTTATGATGTGTTCTGGATTTGGGTTTGGATTTGATTGGCTGCTATTTTTTAATATTCGGAATATGATTTAAACCTTTCGTTATCTTCAAATAGAGGGTTACTGAGGAATGGTGTCTGGAATGTTAAAGCTGAAATTTACTTGTTCGGTTATTTGCTGATGTTTAAGTGGAAGTTGTTAGAGGCTATTCTGATAAGATTAAAAGGCAATTTTTGCGACAATGTGATTTTACTAAGAAAAAAGAGTAGGTGGGAACTTGGGATATGTAGATGATGGAATCAGCAAGTAGGACTCTGTACTTATGTAGTTTCTGCGGAACTTCATTTTGTGAGTGGACTGTAAATCTAGTAGACATCATTTTGGTACTCTGAAATTTCGTGTGCTATTTAGTTGTGTTTTTACACATTGTTTCTAGAAGTACTTTCAAACTTTCTTTTAGAAACGGGGAAAGTTCTGTTTATAGAGTAATAATAAATTTGTCCAGGTCCCTGTTCTGTGAAATGTCCTGACGTTCTCTCATATGCACTGGGAATTCTCTATGCATTCCTTTGCAACATGGTATTTTTACATTTAGATATATGTTTATTGTTTCAGTTATGTATGGCCAAAGCATATCATGTGATTTACGGATTTCAGCCACATTGAAGTTTGTAAATCTTATGTTGTGGTTAATTTATAGTGTATAAGTATTCTATCATTTAATTTTGTTGTTATTGTAGATTACTGGTTAAGTGGTTCTTGACAAAGGTTCTATTCATATTGGAAGTGTCTTCCTATCTTTAGATGCTTTCTAAGGTTCTTTTGTTTTCTTTCTTTAAATTTGGGCTCATATTATATATCTGCATGGCTATAATGTTCCAACAGATCCAGCTAGTGCAGCAGCTAATCAAGCAAACAAAGAGGAAGCAGATTCTCGTTCTGTGTTTGTTGGCAATGTGAGAAATATAATGTCCTTTTGCTTTTAGAAGAATGCTTGAATCATTTTATATATGCTGTTTATATTTGTATATGTGTACCTATAGTAAAGGAAAACGATATTATGTGGAGATATAATGTTGACATGGCACAATTTCCCATAGCAGTCCAAAACATCCCACTAAGGCTGTGTTTGCACGGCGCTCCTCGCCAACAAATGCTCCCTTAAGTGTTTAATTACTTTAATATATAATGATGACATGACACAATTTTCAATTGCTGTCCAAAACGTCCCACTAAGTGTTTAATTACTTTCATAAGATAGGAATAAACTACATATATGAATACACTTGTAATTAATAAGCCCTTTTGGAACCACTATTGTACTAACAGTTCCGGGCTTCAGACTCTGCCAAGTGAGGTCAGTTTAGTACTTAAAAAATGTTGTTTTAATTAATTTCATTGCTTTTGGTGCACTTGGATAATTGTAATTCAGAATCATGGTTTGACTTTGTCTCACTATGATCGCAGGGTCCTCTTATTCTTCAAGTTCTCTGTATGTATTGCTGGAATTGTAACACTATGTTTTGAGGGTGGGCCAGAGTCATTTTTATGTCAAACAGCGTTGTCATATGAGAGATACAAAATCAATATTGAATTTGAAAGAAAACAGAGAAAAAACAAGATACTCTGAAAATGACAAGAAAGTATGTCCGATTTTACTCCAACAAAAAAAAGAAAAGGAATCAAAGAAACATTTGAGGGGGGAATGCTAGCCAAAAAGAAACAGAAAAGAGGAAAAAAAAAAAAAGAGATGAGAAATGAAGCAAGAAAGATGGGGAAAAAAGTGAAGTCAAGTATGTAACTCAAGAAAAAGAAAAAAAGTTTGGTGTCTGAATAAAATCTATTTCAAAGAAAAAAATGGAGGGGGGAATGCTAGCCAAAAAGAACAGAAAAAAGGACAAAAGAAAAGAGAAAGAAAAGAGATGAGAAATGAAGAAAGAAAGATGGGGAAAAAAGTGAAGTCAAGTATGTAACTCAAGAAAAAGAAAAAAAGTTTGGTGTCTGAATAAAATCTATTTCAAAGAAAAAAATGGAGGGGGGAATGCTAGCCAAAAAGAACAGAAAAAAGGACAAAAGAAAAGAGAAAGAAAAGAGATGAGAAATGAAGAAAGAAAGATGGGGAAAAAAGTGAAGTCAAGTATGAAACTCAATAAAAAGAAAAAAAGATTGGTGTCTGAATAAAATCTATTTGAAAGAAAAAAATGGAGTGAAGGAACTCAGCAAAAGGCTTATTGGAGGTTGCTGGAATGGATGCAAGTAGGATGTGAATAATGATGCGTCAAACATGATATTTGTGAAGAAAGCTGTTGCTTTCGAGGAGCATGGGCAAGTTGGGATATGCAATCTAAGTTGCAGAGCCTCAACCCTGCTGGTGATGGTCTTTGGTACTTCCAAAACATGTGATCATGGGACAGATGGGGAGAAAGGTGTAGATTGCTGCCTTTTGTGGTCAGAATTACTAACTTCTTTTCATCCCGTTGGTTTATCTAAAGTGTTGGAAATGTTTGACAAAATATTCACTCTTTCCTTTAAGTGATCTTGCCTTTTTTATTTTATCATTTTTCTTTCTTTCAAGAAAATTATCAGCACATTTTTATTTGGTTATTTGATAGTATATTTTAAGACACATCTTAGATATGGTGTTTCTTTTGAATGAAGATTAACTCATTTCATTAGTGATTGCAGGATTTTAAAATGTATTAATCAGAAATTTAGAAGCATTATCAGGATTTTAAGCAGTAAAAATATTGGATATGTTATTTCTGTACATGCATTTATCTAAAACCTTACATTTTCTATTTTTTGCAGTCTGACCAAAGCCATATTATACTGTTCTGGTACACATATCTGTCAGTCTTTTTCATTGATTTGAATTTCAAGATGTTATATACTTAAACCATCTTTAGTTTACATGAAACCATCATTTGCTCTACACATACAGAAACACATATTTCTTGTCATCTTGGAATGAAGATCCTTTTTCTTAGCTTTGGTTTATCGATGTACCTGGCCTAACTCTTTGCACAGCCTGGTGCATCAAAATCTTACCTCTGTAAGCTGCTTGTGGTCTTGCTCGTTACCCTAACAAACATTCGGGGTTTTCTACTCTTGAAATTTCAAAGAACTTTTAACTGAACTCTTTGTTTGCTGTTGTGCTATTAGTTGGACAAGGAACATGTAGCAATGTAACGCTTGAAAGTCATGTGAAAGAACATGAGGAAAGAAACTGTGTATAAAACTCTCTCAGAGGATCAAATATATGGATGAAGGCTGAGTGCCAAATAATTTGGGATTAGGGCTTTATTCTAATAGAGCTGAGATTATATGTTTGTAGGAAATACCAGAATGTTTGGTTACTGTTTTTTCTTGATATGTGAAAGAGGCATATGAAATGACAATTATTTTGCTGTATTGATTGAAGAAAAAAAACCAAGAAAAGATCAATATTGTTGATGGTGCTAGGAAAAAGCTAAATTAGAAGTAAGCATCTGAAAGACACCATGTCCTCTTCATTGGAAAAACATGGTGGTTTTATTTTGTCAGTTGAAGGTTGATTTTGTGATAGAGAAATTTGATTTTATGGATGCAGTGATGAGAAGGGATTGGTATATTAATAACTGTGAAGAGGTGGCTCAACTGCTGGACGTTAGCATTTTCCACAAACTTGGACTATTGTTATGCCAATACTTGGTGATTTGGAAATTGTTATGATGATAGCATGCACTTGGGATATTGATAGTTTGACTCAAAACAATCTTGTCAAGAAAAAATATATATTTAGGAGACAATTTTTTATTTGGTGAAATTGATGTTCCATTGATAGAATTGGTAAATTATAGTTAATGAATGCTTTTGAAGCAAAGAAAAAAATAAAAGGAAAAAGAGACCATTTCTTTTATTGAATGCGGATTTAGCATTTCCCATCTAACATCATTATTTTTATTAGGCGCACAATTTGCCCTGCTCTTTATGACTTGATTGATTATATATAGCGCATAAAGAACCCTCTGAAATGCATGGTTCATTATTATATAAAACTGTTGGAATTGAGGTAATCTCTTCTGGAAAATTCATAACCTGTAGTTATTGTTTCTACCTTACTGAACTCAACAATGAAACCTGATGCTGAACTTTATTTGCAGGTTGATTATGCATGCACGCCTGAAGAAGTGCAGCAGCATTTTCAGTCCTGTGGTACGGTAAATAGGGTTACTATTTTGACAGATAAGTTTGGCCAGCCAAAGGGCTTCGCTTATGTGGAGTTCGTTGAAGTAGAAGCTGTTCAAGAGGCTCTGGCTCTCAACGAATCTGAACTACATGGCCGTCAATTGAAGGTAGGTCATTGTTCATCTTTTGAAAATATAAAAGCTTGAATTATTGTTATGGAGCTGGACATGAATTTGCTACGGTAGATTAAACTTGTGATTGCTGCTGTTTAGATCATTTTGTTCCTATGGTTTGATAATTAACCTACATTTCAGGTTTCTCCCAAAAGGACCAATGTTCCTGGAATGAAGCAATATCGTGCTAGATCTTTCAATCCTTACATGGGTAACCGGTTCAGGAGGCCATATGTGCCCCCGTATTTCTACTCTCCTTATGGATACGGGTATGTTTCTTCATGCTCTCGCTTGTTGCAATTAGCTTTTTGTCACTCGCCTTTCCTTAATTTTACCCTCCTAAATGGTGGCAGGAAGGTGCCTAGATTCAGAAGGTCAATGCGATACATGCCTTATTACTAAGATGTTTCCGTCAGACTAAGGAGTTTATATCTGGTGGATAGTTATCTAAGAATTTCAGATTTCATCTTCATTTGACAGGACAAGTAGATGCTTTATTGGTGTCATGTTTGTGACTACTTTGTATCTGCATGACACAAAAGATTCCTGTAATTTTAATCCACCATGGTTATGCACAAGCCTGCAAGTCTCTGCAGTTCAAGCTTTAGCCAATTGGTGCACTGTGCTTGCTTTTAACTGGTAGTCTAGTTTATGCAGTTGGTTCCCAGTTTCTCAGGATTCATACTGCTATTTTATGGGCGTTTTGAGGGCCAACATCCTTCAGTTTTCTTCCATGAAACCTATCTTAATCAACACATGTGAAAGTTGAGATGGCATTTCTTCCCTCAAAAGCACCTTTTTCTTGTTGCATGTGAACTTCCTTCTTTATCCAGTTACACAGTCGAGAAAAACTGCGGTGGCTGTCACTGGCTCCCCATTTCTCTCGGTGATTTTATTGAAGACCTAGTTTTTTGTTTTTCCAATTTTTTTTTTAATTCTTGTCCTTAATTTTTTTTTATTGCATCTTTTTTTACCGCATTTTATGAAGTAAAATTTAAAATTGTGATTAAAAGAGGAACCACAATATACATGTGTTTTGAGTTTGAAAAATAAGATTGAAATGCCTGGTTTCATTTACATGTTTTTAGACCTTTATATAGTAAGAAAAAGTTGAGGTTGAGAGATAATTTTTTTTATTTGATTTTGCATTTTTAAATCAAGATTGATTTATAGAATACATGTTACAAGGATTGATAATGATTTTTTTTTTTGTGAATAATTTGAAAAATGAAATTTTGAGTTAAAAAAACCCAGCTTTTTTGGCTAATATTCTAGTGGTTAGAAACATGGAAAACAAATTATATGTTGTCTATTTTTATTTATTTTTCTGAAAAAAATTTAAGAAAAAGAAGGAAAGAAAGAAAAAAGAGTCTAAAAGTGTGGGTTTGGCTTTTCAGGCCCACACGCATGACCTTTACTGCGTTAGGCATTTGTTTAATGGGTCATGTTTTTTTATTTTTAAAATTTAATTAAAATAATTTTAAAATATATTAAAAATATTATTTTTAAGAATAATATTGTAGTGTTTATATATATATATATATAGCACCTTTTTTGAGCAATCCTTCGTGACGTCTTTGTTTTGTTTTCTGGATTTTTTGCGCCAGTGTTTTTTTATATTATCCCATGATCATATAAAAAACAGACTTCAAAAAGGTTACAATGTATTATTTTTATATTCCTTAATGCATCTGAAATATAATAATAAAACCATTAAATTTTTCTTTCATGATTCTGATAATTTTTTTCTCAAAAACAAAATCTCGATAAACAAATTGACAAGAGTGGAATTATATTAATAGGATGAAGATTTTTTTTTTTTAATTAAAGAGATGCCTAATAGAATTTACATTATTATTTTTATTATCCCATGTTTCTGTTTTTATTAAATAGAGTACATTTCTATATATATAAAAAAATTATATTCTTTTTTGCAATGAAAAATAAATTAATTAGAAAAAAAAGATTATCCTAGAAAATTATTTTATTTCAATAGAATTTAAATTATTTTTTTAAAAAAAATCATTGATATATAATTAAATAAAAGAATTTGAACAGCTCTATATAAAACAAGATCATATACTTTAATTTGTATTTATCTCATAGTTTCTTGAATTAATCTTTGTCAAGTCGATATCTGGTTCGCCAGTCTTCAAGTCCAAGTACAGACAAAATGAAGACATTTTAATATGTTTGTGGTGAAAATAATCCAATATTTTCCTCATGGTGAAGTTCATGAGAAGCATTCAAGGTTAGTGATACAATTTTTCCTGCGAGCGTAGCAGGCCAATGTTTTGAAAAGCCACAAGCACTGCCTATCTTCATCGGACATCGTGTTTTTAAAATTTCTTTCCTGGATTTAAGGTTCATAACTACATAAACTAAAAGTTTATTTAAAAATTAAAACAAATTCACCGAGTTATCAGCAGCACCTTGCAAATAGCAGCTCCCACTCAGAGGACACCGCAAAAGCCACAGGAGCAAAAACCCTTCACAGAAAGAATTGGCTTGAGAAATGGTAGAAGAGATATCTTGCAGATGTTCAGTTCATCTCAAGACTTTTCGAGTTGCTTTCGTTGTCATACCAGTGTAACAGCAATAAATGGTGGCTGCAAAGCAAGGTTTGATAGATGATCCATGGCAAACTTATTGACCACAAAATACATCTAGTCTAATGCCCATATAAATAACACGGGGTCTTGGAGCTGTCTACAGGCCCGAGGAAAGCAGACGTTGAGTTCCTACCCTTCTTTTTCTGAGTCGCTCAGCAATGATAAAAGCGAGCTCAAGTGATTGAGAAGCTTTGAGCCTTGGGTCACAATGTGTGTGATATCGAGAGCTCAAGTCATCAAAAGTTACTGTCCGAGACCCTCCAATGCATTCAGTCACATTCTGGCCAGTCATCTCTAGATGAATTCCTCCACGATGGCTTCCTTCTTGCTCATGCACATCAAAGAATGCTCGCCCCTCAGCCTACAAACAAAGACAAAATTATCACCAAGATTTGGAGAAGGGGGGGGACAGAAGCAAAAGAAGATGATTCTGAACGTTATATATTCAGATAATATTTTTCTGGGACGCTCTCAAGGCAAGAGAGCCGGCAGTAAATGCTACAGAAACCAGGATCATAAGAGGTCCCCTATTGATATGACGTAAAATTCTGAAGACAGTGGATCATAGTTCAACCCTTCTTTGCGGCCAAATGCTTTAGTTCAACCCTTCTTTGCGGCCAAATTCTTTGGCATGTGGTTGATATTAACTAACTTTGCTAATATACCAACAGCAAGTGGCTGGTGAGTTAATAATTAAGCAGTTGTTAACTAACAGCAACTTATTTCAGACATTGATTGGTATCTCAAGGACCGCAAACCAGTTGTTATTGAACCACAACTTATTTCCCACACTGACTAGCCATGACTGTAAATGAATTACCTCAACTGGACAATACTAGGAATACAATGATATTTAAGTGTTGTGAATTGGCGTCAATCTATGTTGCATTATGTAATTTTAATTTTGTCAATTCTTTTAGCATATATTATCTCATGATAAAGAACATGCCTCCACTTAACATGCAATACAAATTGTAATCAAATGCTACAACTGACTCAATACTTGGTGATATAATCGTAAGAATGGGAGAGTAATCATACCAAAATAGCATCAAAGGGGCGTGTTTTGAGTCCACAAGGTGCCTTGATGGTGTTTCCATGCATTGGATCACAGATCCATGTCACGATTTGTCCTGCCCTACGGACAGCTCTGATCAAGGGGGAAGCTTCGCTCTCATATTTTCAGCACCCCTTCAGGAAAAAAAAAAAACCCTTTTACTGCAGACAGGCACAATATTTTTATTAAGTAGTTTATACTTTATAGTCTATCTTGGATGATTCTTTTTTCCCTGAGCTTATCCAAGAGGCAGGGTGCGAACATGGCAAGTTTAGAAGGAGATTAGTTTAGAAGTTATAATTAATGGTAAGTATTTGGAGGGCTAATCAACTGGGCAAGTAAATATTATTAATTATATATGGTTTGTATCTCGTCTTGGAGGATAATCAATGGTACTGTATTGCAAATAGACGAATTCGAGAGGTCATTTTTTTCTCTTCGTCCATCAATGATAAGCGAAACCATCAATTGACAGGTCTCGCCACTAAGAACTTTTTGATACCAAATTATAACAAAAGCTAGATGATCAGTAAAAATTATTATAAATTAAGAGATATTTCATACAAAAGCTAGATGATTAGTAAAAATTATCATAACATTTCATACTTATGTCTCAACTTTTTATAAGTTTTTTTTTTTGTTATTTGTATTTTTTTCTCTTTTGATAACTAAACTATGCAATTATTTGTTTTTGTTAAATTAAGCATATTTATCATATTTAAATATTTTGAGTCTAACATGAACATTAAAAAAAAAACCTATAAAAAATAAAAAATAATTAGAGTTTTTGTTTAGTGTGCTTTCAAATATTTTAAATGTTTTTTATAAAAATAAAAATAATTTATAAAAAATATTAATTAGGACTTCTGTTTATAATATTTTAAGAATAGTTTTTATTTTTTAATAAAAAATAAAAAATAAAATTTTTTATTTAAGATTTTTCAAGAATAATTTAAATATTTTTTTATAAAAAATTAATTAGGTTTGATTATCAAACTCAAGTTACTTATATCTAGACACATCAATAAACTTAAAATATTCTCTATATTTTTAATATTAATAATTTAAATTAAATGTCATTAAATTTTAATGTTATAAATCATGGAAATTTTGAATCTAAAAACTAAAATCCGATTTTGACTTTTTTTTTTTAATATTATAGTATTGTTTAGAAGATGGAAATGATTGTTTAGAATAATGATTTGAGGTGGTTGTTTGGCCTGAGGGTGGTGAGCTCGAAATGGACAGCACCGATAAGGGAGGAAGAAAGCTACTGGAGCTATGTAGTCATTTTCCAAAATTAAAAAAAATAAAAATTGCTGATCACAATTAAATAAATAAATGTCAAGCACAACGGTGATTTAGTATAAGCTTAAAAAAAAATAGAATTTTTGGATGATTGTTTAGAATTTTAAATTATAATCATTATCAGAATGCTTGCTCAAGAGACTGAAGCGTTAAACCTTGGGTCACAATGAGTGCGACAACGGGAGCTCAAGTCATCGTAAGTTATCGTCGGTGACGCCCTATTGCACTCTTTCACATTCCGGCCAGTCATCTCTAGGTGAATTCCTCCAGGATGGCTTCCTTCTTGCTCATGCACGTCGAAAAATGCTCGCACCTCAGCCTATAAACAACAATATTGACTTTTACATTAGCAAGATTTTTATTTTTAATCAGTAAATCTCTCCACACATGATTAATCAGCTTCATTAATTATTAATTTCTAAAGTTATTTAGGTGGAATCTGCCTCCAAATTTCGATGCATGACAATAACTTCGATACCTGTTTAAATTCTATGAGTGAACTTTTGTTTCATTTAATTTTTTTATTATGTATATTGAGGTGGAGGCAGGGGTTGGTAGGGCCCGATCATGTAATTTTTTTTTTCCAACCCTTCTCTCAACAATATTTATATTTTTAATCTAAATAATAAAAAAAATAATATTTTAGCTCTTCTTAATTTTATTTTTTGGTTTCCACTATAATACAAAAATTATGGCAAAATGATTCAACTGAAAATGTATTTTCAACGGTATTGTGATTAAGATTAAGATTAAGATTCTCATTTTAACTGTTTGGTACTGTGATAATTAAGATTTTTATCTCTCTCTCTCTCTATATATATATATAAATTATTTGGTTAGTTAATTAATTTTTATTTTATCATTGGACTTTATATATAATTACCATTTAAATATTAATTGTGTAAAAGTTAAAATAATTTATTTTTTATTTATGAAAGATCTTTTTATTTATTTTGTATTAAAAAATCTATCATATATCAGTTTGAATTTTATATATTAAAAAATTAACTAAAAAGTAAATTGTTTTTTAAATTATAACCGCAAGAAACCAAACACATCCTTTGCCTCTAGCGCGCTCGCTCTTGAACTCATCGCCAGGCCGTTCCTCCCTCTCTTTATTTCTCAGCACTCAGCAGAACCCAAACCAATCCCAATAAAACCAGAAAACGACAGTCACTAAATCAAAATACGACACAATAATGTCTCTCACAACCTACCACCACCACCACCATCACCACCTCCTCTTCAATAACTCGCCGCATCGCATCACCCTCCTCTTCACCTCCACCAGCCTCTCACTCAGAAATCTCACTCTCTCTCGCCACCTTAACACATCCTTACATTCCCATAATTTCCACTTCAAACCCCAGACTCCCAAGAGCTCTTTCAATTTCACTCTCAAAGCTTACCAATCGGACCCCACAATCCCTACCCAAGATTCCAAACAATTCAACCTCGATCAATTCCTCTCAGTTGCTGAGTTACTCTGCATCTTCTCGTCGTCTATAATCACAATTAGTTACGCATTGAATTATACGGTTTTGAACTCGAAAAGGGGAGTGTTGGGGGTTATAGGGAGTAATACAGGGTTTGCGTGGGGAATGGTGGTGATGGTTAGTGGAGTGGTGATCGGTGCGTGGATAAGAAGGCGGCAGTGGTGGCAGGTTAGTAGGGAGACGGGTAGGGAAGGGAGTAGAGAGAGTTTGAATTTGGTGGGGAGGATTGAGAAATTGGAAGAGGATGTGAGGAGTTCTGCTACCATTATTAGGGTTTTGTCTAGGCAGCTTGAGAAGTTGGGGATTCGGTTTCGGGTTACCAGGAAGGCATTGAAAGAGCCCATTGCTGAGGTACCCATTTTCTTTTCTTTTCTTTTCTTTTCTAATGTTGTTAATTACTGAAAAAGACAAGGGTCCTGAAGTTTTTTACAATAGATGAATTTGAGGATTGGATTGGAATATTAACATATTTAATGGAAAGCAATTGTTAGTAGAAGTAATCCAGTTTTGTTGTTTGAAGTTTTATGCATGAAATGTGGAAGATTTTGAGAAAATGAACAAGGTTTGGAATATTGAAAATTGGAACTCGGTGGCAAGAGAAGAGATGCCTGAGAAAAAATGAGTTTGTGTTTGGCATTATCTTTTAATTATAGAAAAACCTTTGAAATTGATATATACTGCATCTCTGAGGATTTTCATCCTAATAAATTGGTGTCATTCTTGCGGTTCGACTAACAAGTTGATTTGAAAGAAAAACTGATGATTGTTCATTCTGGCTGTCCATTCTCATTTGCATATTAATAATGAGATTGGGCATGGATTTACTGATGATTGTCTGAATGGTTCGTTACTTTTTCTGCTTAAATTCTATTCTTTGAGAAGTTCAGCCAAGGTCTCCTTGATTCTATTGCTTAGGACTCTGGTATGTGTGCTGACATCCAAAGAATGGATGGTGATAAACGACCATGGTTTAGAGTGGCTAGGTTTTCTCTCAATGGGTGCATCATTTATATTGCTTTTGTTATTCTTTCAAAGGCTCAACATGCTAAACTAAGCTGCGTTGCCCTTGTGGAAGAAAATATTGCCTTTTTCTATTCTTTGTTTTTCTTAGAATCTCGAACCTCTGGTTGATAATATATTTGGTTCTGTATAAACATGGCATGTGGCTTGAAGCCTCGAACAAGAAGATACTGTTTTATGGTTGTGCAGTGGGTCTAATACCTCTGACTTCAAATAGATTGCATAAGTAACGTATATCTGCTGATACTTTTAGAAATTAGTGCAATTTTTTTTTTATAAATAGCTTGAGTTAATTTATTAACTTCTTTCAATCTGTGTCTGAAGACTGCAGCTCTGGCTCAAAAGAATTCTGATGCTACTCGAGCATTAGCTGTGCAAGAAGATATTCTGGAAAAGGAGCTTGGTGAAATTCAGAAGGTCTTGTTGGCAATGCAGGTAAGTTCAGCTGATAGATTGATTGTGCCAATGACAAACCTTTTGTAAAGAATAGGGGTATGACAGACATTAGGAAAAGGTCAAAAAGTTTATTTTATTGCAATTGTTCCCCTGTTCTTTTCACGATCTGGTTCTTGTTCAAACTTTCGTTAAAAAAGGTTTTTTCCTGTAATTATATCTTGGTAATCAAGTGACTGGTGATATGAATTGTGAAATTGGTTCTGTGGTGTTCAGTGAAACCTGTCTGAAACCAATGTAGGTGTGATAGGGACGTGATTGAAGAAAAAGGCTGTGCATAGTCACTATAAAGGGTTAATGCTCCCATACATCTCGTAATCTTCATTTTGTATTTAAAAGGTCCCTCTACTATTTTTTGTCTTAATATCAACCCTTTATATGACTTTTTTCTGTTATTTATACAGTCTTTTGTCAGTTCATGTCACTACACGGGATACGTGCTCACAACATGGGTTTTTTTGCTAGCATGCAGTACTGGTCCTTATATTTTTTTTTATTTAAATGTTTTGGTCCCTATATTATATTTTTCTAACAAATAAGTCTTTTATTAAATTTTTTTTGTCATCATATCTTACAATCATATATCATTTAGTTCTTGGCTGATTTTTGTTTTTTTTTGAATTAAGGCTCTACATGTCATATATAAACTTAGTAAAAATTAGTCAAATGATTTGCATGGGGTTGATGGGTAAGGTAAGAGTTAAATGCATTCAAATAAGTATATCATTTAAAAAACTAATAATTTTTTTTCTATATTTTTTTAATTCATTTTCTTGATATAAACCTAAAACAACCGAGAAAGAAAAAAATTAAAATAAAAGAAGGGGAAAACATTTCACATAATAGATATATGATATAAGAATTTTCTTTACTTTTGTTTTTTTATTAATTTAAATAGGTAGATCTATTTAAATCCACATAACCCTTATCTTATCTATCAATCCATTTTAATTATTTGACAAAGTTATGCTTTGACATGCAAGGATTTAACTTTTTTTGAAAAAAAAATTCACTCACGGACTAAATTACATATGACTGCAAAATGCAAGGACCAACTTTTAATGAAGAATTTATTTATAAGAAGATACATCATAGGGACCAAAATAAAATTTTATTTTAAGGGTCCAAAATATACATCAGTGAAATACTTGCTGTGAGCATGTAAGGTGCAGGGTTATTAAAATAAAAAATAGTAGAGGGATCTTTTAAATACAAAGCAAATAGTACAAGGATGTAGGGAAGCATTAACCCTCATTAAAAATGTAAATGAAACATGATACGAATCTCTACTGGCACTAAGTTTAGTGAAGAAGTAGCTGATGTATTCATTCTCAACTTCTTTCTTTCTTTCTTTCTTTTTTTGCAACGTATCACTTCTTATGTTGTTGGAAAGTAAAAATAACTACTAGGGTTGGTAAAAGAATGTCATATCGGTTCTATGCGTGGGAGAACATGTTACAAGCGATCAGTTCCATGGCTTATGATGAATGGAGGTTATCGAATGCAGTAAGACTAACTTCAATATGTCATCATCTTTGCAGGAGCAGCAGCAAAAACAACTGGAGCTAATTCTTGCAATTGGGAAGAGTGGGAAGTTATGGGATAAAAGACGGGAACCTGTCCAAGAACAAGAATTGATTAAAACATCTGATTTAACTGAGGGGGTGAACCAGTTGCAAACCCATGAAACTGAACCTTTAGTTACAAGCAAGGGAAGCAATAATGACATTCCATAAAAATCAGCAGTAAATACTCGCCGGATTTTTCTGTTTTTTCCGCCACCCGAGGTTGACCTCTTCTTTCATTTTCTTCAGCAAGGCAGCTGTGCTCTTTTGGTTCCCACTGTAGCTTCACCATAGGCCATCTGAGCGAAGACCCCCGTTTCTTGATCTGAATACGCTATTGCTGCAGCGTAAAGAAAAATGAAGGACTAAATATCTTTGTATAATTGAGACACAATCTATTCAATCGCTGTGCTCATTCCCGTGAGGTTGCACTTGCTGTTCAAGTTTTGTTTCTTGACAGTAACAATTTCATTCATTGGGAATGGGAGCTCGAAATCTGTACTCTTCTTACAAGTACTGGCATAATTTAAATGCAATGTTAGATACTTATTGTTTCTGTGCTCATTTCTTGTTTCTTTTGAATTTGAATCGCTGTGCTCATTTCTTGTTTCTCTCCAAACCAATCTCATGTTTAGTTAAAGAAGAGCACTTTACCTCTTTGAAAGAAGTTGGACTTGGATTGTCTTGATAATTGGCTTGACAATCCCAAATCTTTG